ACCTTCAGGATGTGTAGGAAAAAGAGAGAGAGCTAATATTTACCAGTCCTGAGGAGAGTACTAAATGCTTCATATTTAATTCTCAAGTTATCCCTCTGAGAAATAATTAGTACACACATTTTATAAATGAAGCAGCTGATGCTAAAAGAAATCAGATTTGTTGTCCAAAGTCACACAGCTAGTAAAAGATCAAAACTAAACTTGAACCTGGGTCCTAATTTAATTATCTTTTGACTATAGTATATTGTCCTCTAATAAATGTTATAATATTTTCACCAAGAGGTCAGAAAATCCAACCCTTATTGGTGAACTCACACGTTTTATTGATATCAGTTGTTTCTGTGCATTGGGAAGAACAAGTGTTTCTCAAGGTAAATGAAGGCACTTAAAAAGCCTAACAAAGCTCAAGAATAAGGTATTTTATTTTCTTTCAAGTATATTATGTACTATGTTCTTTGAATACAGTGTAACTGAAACCATGCTATATTCTTGTTCACTATGGTTTTTTTCCCCTGAACATATTTATAACTGTTCTGCTTACTTACTTTATAAGTGAGTCCTCCATCATAATGATGGTTTTTCTAATAGTTTATTCTTACTCTTAACTCTTCTTTGTTTTAGTAGCAATTTCTAGCGTGATGCGATATTTGACACATGCTTTCTTACTTTTGTTCAAGTGCCTTTGTAATTTTCATACTCATTCACATCCAGCCTCATTCTCTGCTTACATTATTTCTGAGTACTACTAACTGCACATTTATTTCCTGAGGATGTTTTAGAATCCTCTGCCTCCCCTCTGTATTTTACATTTGCAGATGGCTTTTTTGGTAGCATGCTTATTTTCTCTAACTCTATATTTGTTAAAGCTTCGTCTACCTGCTCACTTAAATAAAGATTCATTAAGAACCTGAACATTTGCAAATTGTGATTGTTTTGTGAATATAATAAATTGTGCCTTCTATTTCATAGGTGCCACTATTTTCCTTATTTCTAATAATTCCATCCAAGATGATTTTCAACATTGCCATAAGTTTAGAATGAAATCTGGATTATCTTTTGTATGTGGTCCTTCCCTTTATAGAATTTAGTGTAAAGGAGCTATTCTTCCTTTTAACTATTCGTAGTAATGGAAAGCGTTTATGTTAGAAACTAAAGCCCAAATATGTTGCATTAATTCCTCCTGCTTCTTATCCCACACTCTCTGGCCTTTAACCCATATTTCCCACCTGGTGACACTTAATACACCTCATGTTTGTAGCTTTTCAAAGCTTTTTTCATCAGCCTCATTCCATCTTGACAGTCAGGCACTGGCTTTGGCAAGAACAAATATAATTATTTATTTATTTTGAGACAGTCTCGTTCTGTTGCCCAGGCTAGAGTACCGTGCCGTGGCGTCAGCCTAGCTCACAGGAACCTCAAACTCCTGGGCTCAAAGCAATCCTCCTGCCTCAGCCTCCTGAGTAAGCTGCACGACAGGTGTGTAATTTTTTCTATTTTCAGTAGAGACCAGGTCTCATTCGTATTCAGGCTGGTCTTGAACTCCAGGCCTCAAGTGGCTCTCTCACCTTGGCCTCCCAGAGTGCTAGGATTAGAAGCATGAGCCTCTGTACCTGGCTTTAATAATGTAATATTTTGGCATATGTACTTCCCTATGCTTAGATGGTTAATAGAAAAAAATTTTCAGCTATGTAATATAATCTGATGGAGACTAAAATAAAATACAAAAAAAAATCTAAAAGTACTTTGGAAATAAGTAGATCAAGTGAAAGAAAGCAGATTTGCTTTAAAAAAAAGAAAACAAAACTAAATGTAAAGAAATAGTAAAACAACAACAACTGTCTATAAAATACATGGAAAGTAAACATCAGGTTCTTTGCATATTTTAAAATTACATAATCATAAGTTTTGCCCAATTGGAAGGAAGCCAGCACATATTAAAACTGTCAGCAATGAAGGACGGAGTAGGTACTGAATAGTGTGGCCTAGCACATTCAGCCTGCCCATTTCGTACTAATGGGTATGACAAGAATCCAGACATGCAAGTCTAATTTGGGCACAGAAGGCAGGGCTGGGAGTGAGGAAAACTATTGAATCAAAAGAGGACAAAAATAGAAGGGGCTCAGTTTGTATATGCATATGTAAATCTGAATATGAGTATTTAAGATATTCTGGGGTAAAACAATCCCATTCCTTTTACCACTGATTCTGGTCACGAGAATGTAGTTAATAAAGCATGTTGTTGGAAACTACATTATCACAGGCTCTTCTTAGTAGTCAACATGTATGTAATTCATATACTAATTGGGGTTGCAGAAAGGATAGTTTATGAATCAAAACAGGTAAATAAATACAATCGATCTGTATTCCTTCTAAATTTTGGAAATCCTTGCCCTCACATTAGGAAGCTTTGTTCTCCTATTTTATGTCAATTTATTCAGTGATTTAAGCTTTATTTATTTTGTATTATTTTTTCATCGATAGGACCACCTATTTGCATTTTTCATTCTCCTATATTTAAACACTTGATGAAAATTAAATTTCCTACTCTTTTCACAGATTGATTCTTGAAGCCCCTTTTTAGAATCTTCTAAAAAAAAAAAAAAGAAGAAAAAAAATGAAGTCTCCCCAGTCTCCCCATAGACAAAGATTTTACATTTCAAATAGTGACTATGTGAGGGCTACCCACACTCTAAGGAAGAAATAGCCAGAGAAGTGGAGCCCCTGGTCAGAAATAGATCAATTGAATATCCATTTGTGCATAAATATTTCCCTTCAAAATAACTCTGGAAAGATTAGATTATTTTTGCTCTTTAGTATAAATTTTTTTAATCAACATGTTACTGGCTTTTTCCTCTTCCACAATCACGAGCTCTTCCGGTGGTTCTCCCAGTCATGACACCAGGTGAGGGCGAGGGAGAAAGATCCTCGGAAGCTGGCTTGAGGGGGAACACGTCAGACGTCATTCTGAGAGAAGTCACCGCAGCACCCTCCGTTCTCCTGGGGACGCCATCATCACTTGCCGTGGCCATAGGCGCTGGAATGTGTTTCGTTGAGCCTTTTCTTAATCTTTGCTTCATACATTGTCCAAGGGCTCCTGTCCTCAAACCCTGGGAGCCAGCTGTTTATGGCTCACTCGCTCACTGAGAGTTGATTCGTGGGTTGAAAAAAATGTGGCCGGTAACAGTGGGTCCACCCATGCAGCCTGGGCGCTTCCTTCAGTGAAAAGATCTGTTAGGAAGAGCGGGGACTGTGTGGCTCCTTGGGGATCCAAAACCCTGCCTGGGGAAGAGGAGGACAATGAACAAGGAATGAGTAGCATGAAAGCCTTGGGGATCTGCAGAGGTGGAGCAGGGAAGGGGATGGGAAGAGGTTAGTCAGCAAGAGGAGAAAAGGTTTTAGAGGGAAATGGGAAAATAACCAATACTGGGTTTTTTTATACCCTTCAGTTTTTACACAAAAGATTTTGGTGACACTGGGAATCACTGCCTGGGTAGATATCTAGCAGACGACTCTGGAGCAGAAATGATGTGAAAGGGACATTTGTTGGAATTAAAACAGAGGTTGGCAGCCTTTTTTCTGTAAAGGGTCAGATAGTAAATATCTTAGGCTTTGTAGGCCATCAGGCAAAATTAGGGTTTTTATATAACAAGAAAGAAAACAAATGTCCACAAATTTTTTTTATTGATGAAATTCAAAATATAATCATGATAATTAAGTTCATTTTTAAAAAAAAATACAGGTCTACTAATGATAAGAACCAATTGCCCTTTTGGGGGATAACATTTTGCTTAAACTGGGGTTCAAAGTTAGTTTCCATTATTAGCAAAATCAATTATAAATCCATCTGTTGTTGTTGATCTATAATGAGATTTTATATATTTGTATTTGAAAATATCTTTTCAGAGATAGATACTATCAAATACTGATATCAATATATGAGCATATGATTTTAACTGAGCATATTTACTGGTTGGAAGGCAAATAGAATTCTATCAGATTTTTTTCTTGATATTTGATTTTAGCCTGCCATTCTATTGCATATTATAATAGTAACTTCCAAATGAAAGTTAAGTGAAAACTCCTCAGTTGCACAGTTAAGCAAATTTTGAAACATGGAGGGTTTTTATTTTTTATTGTTTTGGTTTTTGTTTTTGTGTTTTTCAGCTTGATTAAGGTCTAAAAAATGCAGCTGGAACAACAGTTTGAAATTGAAAAACATATCTACTAAAATCTGTGTGGAAATGGAGATCTTTTTTTTTTGTTTTAACTTTTAACAGTACGTGATGTGTATAAAGAAGCTTTATATTACTAGGTTTCAAGCAGTGTTAATTGTCATAGAAATGACTTTGTTGCAATATAAGTTTTATATATAAGCACTCTTGCCTTTTTTTTAAAAAAAGTAAAAAGGCCAATTTCCAGCCATGTTTAATAATGGTGGTTAAGGGCAGTTCTTCCAACCACTTAAAAATTTAAAAAACATCCTCAGCTTGTGGACTATACAGAAACAGGCAGTGGGCAAGATCTGTCCTGTGAGCCTTGGTTTGCCAACCTGTGAATTAGACAGATTCAGACTCTTTTGCTTGAATTCTGGCTATACCCATTCTTGACCGCTGTAAGATAGGGCAGACTACTGAACCTTTCTAAACCCTCTAAGAGAGGATTAGAGTTTCCCCTCATAGAATTGTAAGGATTAAATGAGGAGAGTGCATGTAATAATACAAACAATTAGTAAGCAGTATATTAAAATCCCACTATAATGCTATATAAATGGATCAAAATATTTAACAAGCTAGAATTAGCAGGCAGGGGGGTGCTGCTGTTCTCATAGTGGAGCTAATGAGTTGAGTTTGGGTCAGCTTGCTGAGTATGCCGAGCACCATGGCCTTCTGTCAGAATTCTAATTGAGAAATTTGAATGTGCTAGAGTTACTCTAAGTATTTTATTAATATCTCCATCGTATTTCTTTCTTTTTTATTCTTTGCAACCACCTTATGAGATAGATGTTACTACCATTGTATAGACAAGGAAGTCAAGGCTGCCACCCTTGAAGTTACCCCATTCATCTGCACGGACATCCATGCCAAACCGATCCGGCTTCACCAGTCCCAGCAGGTGCTGCCCGGGTAATCCCAGTGCTTCCTTCTTCCTAGTATCCATGGGTGGAGTATATAGCATGATTAATGGATTTTGCTATTCCTCAAAACTTGTAATAGCTTCTAAAGGTATTAAAGTCCTTACTATCTTTTTTATATTATGTGATTTCGTGCCTATCTCTTTACATATTAGATGGTCCTAAAAAGTCAGGAGTGTGTCATATTTGTTATGGCATATTCCAAGATGAACACTGAGTAGTCATGCAGAATAAAACTATTGAATTGACTAATGAATGATGATTGTTATAGAAACAAAATAGTATTTTATTCCTTACTAATTCCTTACCAATGACAAAGCTCTTCAGTAGTTTATTTCATTGTGCTCACTGTTTCATACTCTTTTTAATGTTATATTATTTATTTATAACCTAAAAGAAATCCTGTATAGAAGGAACACTTGAATTAACATGTGTTAATGTTCAGACCCCTAGTTTGCTATTAAAAAGCTATATGAATTTATAGAAAAATTTTACTTCTCTGTTCTTTTATTTTCCTTTTCTAAAATGTCATCTTTAAGGTCAAATTTGATTCTGATATTCTATTATAGTTTTTAAAATTCAAAATTTAGTTTTGATAATGGATTCTGTATTATATATCTATATTTTTTGAATAATAATTTTATAACATTTAAATTAGGACTAAAAATATCTCAACTCTACCTTTCTTTAGTACATAGACAATGACCCTTTATTTTTTGGTAGGAATACTTTAAAAATATTTGGTATGTGATTATTAAGTTTTGCTATACTGTTTCTTTGAGTATGTTTTGCTATACCTCATCAGCAATCTAATTTGGTGCATGATTGAACTGCAGCTTTTTAAGTCATATACAAATTTCATCACCAATAAGACCAATGTCTACTGTGGTTTTGCAGTGAGGTACTCAGTAATCAACACTGAAAAGAACTTATTAGAGTCTGGCAGGAAGAACCAAGTCAATTTCTCTATCATCTCCTGGAATTTTGCTTTCTACAAGGGACCTCATAAACAAACTCTAAAGTGGCATGTATGTGCATTTTTCTTTTAATCAAAGTGTTAGGTTTAGTCTCGTTCTGTGTTCTCAGTTCTTGGTGTGCTCATGGCTGATGAAAGACCACACACGCAAAGTAAGGCAACATGAGGTGAAATTTATTGAGGGGGAGCAAGGTAGGATTATAGAGCAAGAGAAAGACATAGGTTTACAGAGCAAGATACATATGCCACAGATGATGACCAGATCCCCTGTGGTAGCAGAAAAGAGCAAAAGGAAGGGCCTTTTGCTGGTTATAGTCTGAATCTTGTTTTATAGTGGCCGGATTGGGACCTCCCTAGTGGCTCAGACATCACCATGGAGCCACTTAGATTGTACAGATGGGAGTTACGTGACCTGAGTCTTATTACACATGCGGGTGGATCTAGGTCACTTTCTGGACTCTGTGGTACCTACGCTGCTTGGCCCATGGGCTAGAGAGTCCTCTGCATTCTTTTGCAGTTGGCAGGCTGCACTGAGTTCTGATTGGTAGACTTGTAGGGTGCTCCCTCCTCCCCCAGGTATGGTAATTGCTCGGGACAGAATTAAGGTGGGGCAGGACCAAGATGGGGGCCTGGGGCTCACTCTTGTCCTTCTTCTCAGGTGGGGCAATTGCACCAAACCAAAGCACCCACTTTTGTCCCTAGTAGACCTGAAATCCCTTGCTATCTACTTAAGAAAATAATGATTTTTATTATTATTCTGGGAATACATTTTATTACCAGAAATGGGATTATTATTGCTATGCACCTCAAACTCATGACATCTTCTTACCATAGTAACCAATATGTGTAGACCGCTTTACAACTTCTCAGGCACATCTACTCTCACAAGGCAGGACTACGTCTGGCTCCTTTCTTCTTCTATCATGTCCCCAGCATCTTGTTCAGAGCCTGCATATATTGCCTGACTCAGCAAATATTCACTGACTCAGAAAACGAATGAAAGCATCATCATGCCTGATGCTCATGAACTTATTCCCATTAGACAGACAAGGAAAGAGAGAACCAAACGGATTAATTAAGAAATGTTTCACAAGGTCACAGAGATGATGAGCAATTGCACTAAGATTTAAACCAGATCTTTGACTTGAGAGCCATCATCTTTCCAATTACTCCAGGCTGTTGCTTCTATTAAATCTGTACACGGTTTTCGAGCTGACCTACCAAGTCACATTTCCGTCAGAAGATTTTGTTATGAATACTTCATACTTTATCTCTAGCACTTTTATGATATTTAGAACCATAAAACAGCCTTAAACTTCCTCAGCACAAAAGCACCAGAAAAGCTGATTGAGAAACCTGCCACAAATTTTAATGTGCATCTGTAAAGGATTAGGGTTCCCATAAACATTCCGGGGCACTCCCGAGAGAGTTTTGTGGAACACTGTTTCCCAGAGCTGCTCAGAAGTTTCATGAAGTTAGGGACATTTTTGTGCTGCTTAGGCAAGTATGTTATCTGCAGGCTCTGATTTCTAAAGTCCAAGGAAAGAAAATGCTGGTGATGGAAACTTCCTCTGGGGACGTCGTCTGTAGAAAACAAGCTCACTTATCACAAACAGGCCGTTTCTAAGAGGGCAACAGTTTTGTTGACTACATTTAAAGACAGAAACACACAGTTCCCAAATGCAATTTCAGTTTTCTGAAGCACGGTTTTATTCTCTTACAGAAATGCCTTGGTGATTATTTTTTGTTGTGTTGTTTTGCTTAGTGTCCCTCTTCAGTCAACATGAAAAAGAAAAGAACAAGCAACTGAATGATCCTCTGATGGCCTCGAGGCCGTGGATGGAGGATGTCTCCAAGTACAAGCAGGTACTCTAGGTAATACTGGTAACAATTGGACTTTTAAAATCAGGCTCAAACACTGACCCAGTCAGATGGATTCAGATTAAATGTTTTGTTTTTTTCCTAGAGAATGTCTATTTTCCACACGGATTTTAAGAAATCCCTTTAAAAGTGCTGAAATAAAACGTTAATTTCTTACATTATGATTTGGATTAAATTTACTTATAGCAGATAATTCTGGGTTCTATTATGTTTAGTATATAAATTTCTTTTCTTTTGACAAGTACTGTTTTTAAAATTACTGAATCTGTGCTTTCTAGACTTGTCTATTAGGCTTTAGGAGATATCTCTGTATTTCTGTCTCTATCTCTGTCTCTATCTCTATGTCTATATTTATATATCTACCTATCTATCTCTATCAATATCTATATGTAGAGAAAATAAAAATTTAGCACCAGGATCAGAAGTTACATCACTATATTAGAACATTTATATACTGTTCTGTCTACTTCGTATCTTTCATATATTCATTGTAGATGGGACATATATGCTTCAAATATGTGTAATTTCTTAGAAACTGTGCGACTTCCCTATCTTAATAAATTTATAAGTAACTTTGTACTATTTTAGCTATATCTGTAAAATTTATATACTAAACTTGAAAAAAAAACTTTTTAGGATATTCACTGCATGAAAATGAAGGTTAGGCTTAAATCTGGGCTTATTTTTCAGAAGGAGCATCCTGCTAGAGTATGAGCCTTCCCAGGGAGTACACTCTGTGTCATTCATGTCTATAACCCCAGTTCTTAGCCTGACAACTGACCATCCATATTAAACACTCCATGAATTTTTGTTAACTAACTGAATGAAAGACAACGACATCATATGACGTGTCTGTCTAGGTACTGACACACATGGCCTGTTTTTGTATGCTCTGCAAGCTAAGAATGTTTTGTGCATTTTTTGAAGGGTCATAAAAATAACAAAGAAGAATATATGACAGAGACTATATGGCCTATGAAGCCTAAAATATTTACTATCTGACCCTTTACAGAAAAAAATGTTTTCAGACCCATTTTTATTCTTAAATAAACTCCTGTTTTTACATACTTTACACCCATTTGTGGAGTGAGGTCATAGGGGACATAGACTCTGTTAATTGTCTGTTCAAAATCCTTCTCCATCTTTCTTGTTAACAGAATCCCCATTGTGTCTGGTTTATAACTACTGCTAGGGATAAAACATGGTAGGTCAAAGCCAGTTTGGACAATTCCACTGGTCTTTACTATTTATTTGTCTGGAGTAGACATGTAGCTCAGTCCTGGAAGATGAAACATAATGACCAGGGAGATTTCTGAGAAGGATTTTACTCCTCTTTTAAAGGCAAGCATATAGAAAGGAATATACATGTCCATTCTTTCCTGCTTGGGACTTAGTTATGTGAGGATGTGTTTTGCATCTCTGGAAGTCATCTTTTGACCATGAAGAGAAGGCAAAAAGGTTCCTAGTGATGCTGACCTACCATTCTATCACTGTTGTGCTGGGACTGGCCCTGGAACCACCTACCTCCAGCTTTCTTGTAATATGATAATAAAACGTCAGGTCTTTATGGTCCAGGCCATTGTTAATTCTGTATTCTGATACTTGCTGCTGAAATATCCTAACTGATTCATTCTGGTTTTAGATTGATTCTAACAAGGAGCTCAATCAAATTATCAGAAATTTTGTCTGAAATGAGGAGATGTCTCAAATGACTTGGAGTAATGAATGAAGTTGTAGTATTACTTATATAGGGATTAATGTAACCCGATATTACATAATATGTAACCCCATATTATATAATGTAACCCGATATTACATAATTTTTATATACAAATTACATTTGTATATAAAAATATACAAAGTTACTTATAAATTTATTAAGATATTGGAAAGCAGAGTGAATTCAACTATGAAAAATCTATTTAATTTTCTGATCTGATTAAGAAGTAAGTGCATGTGAATGTTTTTATGTATTTGTTTATATGTTCTTGTGTTGTCAACCTTAAGTAACAAGATTCAGAATATATGATTATTTATTCGAGCACAGAGCTAGCTGCACTGGAAGCACAGATTCCAAAGAATACAAGTCAGCATTCTGAAGTGTAGAAGTTTGGGGCCATTTATATAGATGAGGTTGAGGGAAGCCTAACAGAATTTCAACGTCTTTCTATAATATATAAAGCTTAACACATGGTTACAATAATCTGATTGGTCAAGGTGGACTTTTTCTTTTGGGAAATGTATATTAACATTTGACACTGAAGATATGATAGTCATGGGGTCTTTTTTGCCATCTGGTCTTTGTTGGGTACAGGACAACAAAGGAGACAGTTCACCTATAACAAAGGTCAGTGATTAGAAGGGGAAGACGTCTGGTCTCTTGTCTCTTCTGGTCGTGTACAGAACAAGAACAAAGAGGAAGAGAGTTAATCTATAATCGAAGAAGCAGGAATTGCAACTGTATTCTGCGTGACTCAGATGGCAGTCACATCTCTTTCAAGGTTTAAAGTGTTTTGGGGAGTACATCAGGCTTTTAAAATGTATTTATTTTCACAGTAGGAATGTAGACTGCATGCACTTCGCTTAATTAGATACTGTTCAGAATATATTAGACTAGGAAGTAAGGGAAATAATGCGTTTTACCTGTCAGTAATGATGTTACAAATCCATGCTCTAAAGTTTGCTCTTGAACCTCCACACTCCTCCCCCAATGCTTATTTCTGAATGGATAGAAATACAATATTATTGTGATATTATTTTACCTTATTTCTGTACTTTGACATCCTTGCATGATAAATTGCATTTTCACTGCTATCTTGGAAACTTTCCAGGGCTCCCAAGTGCAGAATAATGCTCTTTAGACTTCTGTTGGCTCTAGGTTAGCTATGTTAACTGTTGAAATCCTGCTAAAAACTAACATTAATTTAGTCTGATTGGATATTTCCTGAAAGCTTTCAAATAACTTTATGATTGAGATTATGTTTTTTCAGTTGTGTGCATGTCTTACCTTTCTATATAGGGTACAAGTAGCACTTTAGATGGACATTCCATACAGTCATCCACCTGTGACTTGTTTTGCCTTCTACTGTTGGTTAGTTTACCTATGGAATTTCATGTCTTGTTCTATTTCTGTACATTTTAACTACCTGGCAGAGGGCTATAACTTCCTATGTCTGTGAAAAGACAGCTCCTTGCCTCCCACCAAGTTGGTTTCCTATTAATAGAAAACTTTTATCTAAAGAGGGAAAAGGGATACCTTTTATTTAATAAAATTCTGACATGTTCATAGTGCTTTACAGTATAAAATATATTCATATTTATTATCCTCATAGAAGCTTCATAATGTCAACAAGGTATTGCTTTTTGTATCCATTTCATATTTTAAAAACAGGGGCTCAGAAGGTTTAGGACATTTGCTCAGGTCACTCTCTTTTGAAGAGGCAGATTCTGGTCAGGTGAGGTGGTTCAAGTCTGTAATCCTAGCACTCTGGGGAGGCTGAGGCGGAAGGATCCCTTGAGCTCAGGTGTTTGAGACCAGCCTGAGCAACAGTGAGATCTGGTCTCTACTGAAAATACAAAAAAATTAGCCAGGCATGGTAGTGCATACCTGTAGTCCCAGCTACTTGGGAGACTGTGGCAGGAGGATCACTTGAGCCTAGGATGAGGTAGCTGTGATCTAGGCTGATACCACCATAGTACTCTACCCCTGGGGACAGAACAAGATTCTTGTCTCAAAAAAAAAAAAAAAGAAGGCAGATTCTGGCTCTAAACCCAAGTCTCCTGAACTCTAGTTCTCTCTCAGAAGTAGGACGTTTGAACTATTTTTTGGGTATTTCCACCATGTTTTTGAATGACTTTTGGAAATAAGTCATTTTTGAAATAGAATTTTTTGTCAGATGTGGCCAATTAGACTAGTTGACATCTGACATCTTCGCCGAAATCAATGAGCCTGTTTCAATTTTTTGTGTGTCAATTTGTTTTTTAAAAAAGTATAGGACAAAATACTTACCACATATTGTGAATACATAGAAATATTTTGGAAATGTCTCAACAGTGTGAATACAGTCAGTGTAATATATAACTACAAGTCTATTGGTATAATTTGTCAGATGTCAATGTCAATTGAAGATTATAATAAAAAGTCTAAACATATGAAGTTCCCTGGTTAATTTACCGTGCTATCTCTTTGGCTGCATTCTGAGCAGATGACAGGATTCTGTGTACCTGTCAGGCTTTATTGTGGCCCACACATGGGCAGCATTCATTCCAGTTTAATTAACCTCAAGATTCTAGTTTACGAAGCAGAGCGGGGCTCCCTAATTATTTTCATGAACTAGTGATCTTCTAAGTCATCAGAGGCCATGACTAAACCTCACACATAAATAAACTAGGGTGCTAGAAAATTTAATGAACTATTTTGTTTTTTTAAAAAAGCTCTCATATTGTTTAATTTTTGTTGCATGGTATTACAGTTAACTCTAGAAGTAACTCAGGGGCTATTTTTTTTTTTTTCTTTTTGCACATCTATCAATCTCTCTTTATATATTTTTAGAATACATTAAAGAAACTATGCCCTAAGGTAATATTTTTCATCTTCATAATGTATGTGAAAAATTCTTCTTGTTTTATCCTCTAAGGATAGTTAAGACTGGGAGTTGAATTCACTGTTACCCACATGCTGGCCTTGACCGAGAAAGGCCCAGGATTATCTTCAGAATCAAGCCTTCATTATGGAGATAAAATGAAAGAGACTTTACCACTCTTTATATAATTAAATGCAATCATTATTATGAAAATTTTTCTGCACAGCTGTTAAGTTGGAAAAAAATTTATGCGTGATCAGTAATCCCTTTATATCTTTGACATGATTCATAGCTCCTCATGCATTCCCTAGCCCGAAAATGAAACAGAATTCGAAACCTTCCATAGGTAAATAGTGCTTATTTGTTGCTTTACTATCAATTCCGTGTCTTGTTTTTTAATTCAGTGAACCATTTAAGTGGCTAACATGCCATGTCTTGACAATTTATGCACTCAGTGACTCATAGGTAAAGGGTCAAGTGGCCAAGCAGGACATCAAATAGTCCACTGAAATTTAGTCACAAACTTTTAGACAACTGATGTAATAGCCTCCGATTGGGCCACTCTACTATAGGAACACATGTGTTAGACGGGAGATTATGCTGTGCTCCAAGTCTTTCCGTGGCTAGGGACCTGGGGTGATGTGTTACTGAACCTACTTGACCATATCTGACAGAAATTCTCCAATTCTATTAATTGGTATTAAAGATGTGTTTTAATCTCCCTTGTCTAAATCTCAGATGGTTCTAACTTGGGCAAGGAAAACAGAGGTGCAATATATTGAGATCCTTAAAACCCCATGTATTAGTCCACACTCAGTCATCCCCAAAGGTCTGGGAATTTCCTTTTTCATCGTAAGTGGCTCTACTCCTTTAAGGCATCAGGATCAGGCTCCTGCTTACAACACTAGAGTCTTTGTTTATTCTGACCAAGTAGGATCCTAGTAGTCTGCCTCTTTTAGTCCAAAAGGAACCATGGTGAATTAGCAACTACCAAAGATCCCTATTGGGAAAATTATTCTGATTGTCTTTGTGTCTCTGCTGCCACCAAGTTCAGATTCCCGTCAACTAACCAAGCCAATGTTTAATACCATAAGGAGAAGTTTGAGTGGGCGCATGGAGTCTATAGTCTCTGGTAGGTATACCTCTATTGGTACACTGGGTTTGATCTATCCTTGTATTTCTTTTTCCCTTGTCTAACCCTATTAGAACCCATTCTCACACATATTCTTCAGCTTCCTGCTAATATATGTATTGCCAAATCATGGATCTATTGGATATGAAACATAACTCTTTCGCTGTTAGACTATGTTTCCCAGGATAAGCTGAGATCTAATTCTTGTCATAGGTCTAGTGTATCAGGTGCAGTCAAGGCAGAGTTCAGGAAGGGCATTGTCATCTCTTTGGAAAGTGAAGATATTAAAGTGTCTGCAAACAGATCAGGGCTCGTTTCATCTGAGAGGGGAGAAAGAACTGTTTCTGCTGGTGAAGAGACATTCACTGGTCTTCCAGGATGCAGAATGGTCAGATTTATGTGAATCCACCAAAATATCCACAGTCAGGATTCTACTTTCTCTTGATAAATGCTCCCTCCAGCTGTGACATAAGATGCGGGGAAAGGTTTTGCCTTCAATTTATGTTGTGATTCAGCAAATTATAGGTGCCAACTCTGTCTGATTTCTGGCTATGTCAGTTTTGTGACTGCAAGAGATCGTGATAGATGTTCCCCAATCTTCTAACTATGTCTTGAGCTAAGAATTTAAAACCTAGTGTTTGTCTTTTATTTTTCTTTTCTTCAATCGCTTTAGTACAAATAAGAAGCAGCCAGAGCTCTGTTTTCCTTATTTTCTCCATGGTGGTTTATCCCCAGGGTCATTTGGTCCAAATCTTCCCTTCAACAGGCGCTTCAGTTCAAGGGACCGAAGGTGATAATATGAGTAACTCCATGTCATGGGTTATGGTTTTCCAGTTTTAAGTGGCATCAGGATCATCCTTGTTTCGAAAAATAGGTCTCACAATCACTTGCAAATTCCCATCTTTGGAGACTTTTACCTGCAACTAGTTTTAGTCCTACTGTATCAGTCAAAACTAGATGTAAAAAACAGGGTCTACCACTAATATTTTAAAGAGGAAGAGGTTAAAGACAGAGAATTATGGGCTTACATTAGGGAATACTGGGAGGACAGATTCTAGTGGAGCTACCAGAAATGACTTCCTCGATCAAGGGTCACAGGGTACCTATTCCCCCGAAGCAATCACTGGGCTTGACAGTTCTTAAGATACAGGACCAGGGGCCCAGTATCAAGAGGCTGGTGCCACTACTGCCTCTGATACAACTCCATAAAAACAAAAGAAGCAAGGAAAATGACATTTAATGAATGAAGTAGTAAAATCTTCAAATTTCCATGCTCTTGTTAGGAAAACATGAAAAAGGACAAGAAAATGGTTTTGGCTTCACTTTCACTTTCCAAATCTCACTCAAGTGTATTTAATCTGAGGAACCTAAATTGCATCTAGAACCTTAGCTGCAATGGATAAACGTTGCTTATGATTTTCCCAAATATCAATCAGAGATAGGTTGGAATCTAGGTGGAACAATGGAACAAACCAGTTGACAGTATTTAACATGGCCCGTCAGGGAGAACTGCCACACTTAGACTCAGGCACAGTCAAACCCATTCACAAATCTGTTGTTAATGAGAGTCATAAGCAATAAATATTTGGTTCATTTCTCATAATGTATATTTATTTATAAATCATACCTCATAAAACCATACAACGCATAACTCCGACTCCCCCAGACTGAAGTTTGTAATACTTATTTTCCTCTTTTGGTTTATTCTTAAATCATGAAAATAAATGGTATCCAGCTCTTGGTAAAGTGAATTGGATATTTAATTTCATACTTAATGGCAATGTATTTTTCTTTTCTAATAAAGCCTTGTTATATTAAAGACAATCAATAATTGCGTATGGGCTGGGCGCAGTGGCTCACGCCTGTAATCCTAGCACTCTGGGAGGCCAAGGTGGGAGGACTGCTTGAGCTCAGGAGTTCCAGACCAGCCTGAGCAAGAGCTAGACCCCGTCTCTACTGTAAATAGAAAGAAATTAGCCAAATAACTAAAAATAGAAAAAAAAATTAGCCGGGCACGGTGACGCGAGCCTGTAGTCCCAGCTACTCGGGAGGCTGAGGTAGGAGGATCGCTTGAGCCCAGGAGTTTGAGGTTGCTGTGAGCTAGGCTGACACCACGGCACTCTAGCCTAGGCAACACAGTGAGATTCTGTCTCAAAAAAAAAATAATAATAATTGCATATGATTCATTAATATATTTGCATTTTAGGCACAGGAAGACCAAGCTGATTTTTTAACAGCATGGTATGGAAGATCCATCCAGTTCACCCCATAATAAGAAAGAGTCTTGTCTTCTCACCGAGGCAATCGAGCCAACCTGAGTATACTGGCCATACAACATACTCTTGACTGCTAACTGTGGGATGGCTAATTTGGTATATTTGTTAATACAGGTTCTGATGTAAGGATATCTTCTTCTTCCTTTTTTGTATTTCGTTGTTTTTATCAGCAACTATATTTTCCACTGAAGTAGAAATTCATAAGGAAAAAATGAAAAATATAACTGCAAGCTAATTGGCTTTGATGCTTTGGGGGATTCATTTTATTATGGAAGATTCAACTGAAAGATAAATGTACACACACAGCATGAAAAATATCGACCCCACGGAAACCACAGGAGAAAGTTCAATTGGCTTGCAAGGCTATCTGATTCAGAGGTGTACATACATAAACTAACTTTCATTGTGTTTGTTTTATTTATACTTGTTTATCTCTTCCAAGCAAAAACTTACTCATTATTTGAAAAAGAATTCAATGAAAGGGAGAAAAGGCTAAGATAAGAGAAGAAACTGTTTTTAAGAAGTGTTTTCCTGATACTTTACTTAAGGTTTTCATTGCATACTAGATCATTGTGTTGAATTTTACATTTTAACTGGTGCTTGCAAATTTTTTTATTTAATATATTAACTTCTTTAGTTCTTGCCTAAGAATACTTATTTCTCAAGCATTGATAAGAGAAGAGTCCCCTCTGTCTGGGTAATAAAGAAAATAAGGTGGATACATATCAGAGTCAAGTTTTCCACTATTATCTGGACTGAGGGGTAGGAGTCGTTGACATTAAGAACATCTTTTCAAGCCAAATCCCTCTGACTGCTTCCATAAGCCCATGCTGAAATCATGAATACCTATGGTTGGACAGCAAAAATACATCTTCTCTTCTGATGGGGCATCTAGAAGTTTCATTCCGTTCCTCAAATCTCTATGAACAATGTAGATTAATCTTCAAACGAGATAACCTTAATAAAAATATGGTGCAAAGGTTTAAACATTATTTCACATGGTATTTTCTCATTTACTATTTCCCACAATATCACAAAAGTACAACTCTGTGACCTCAACTGCAGATATAGAATATGACATATACAAAATGCCATTACAATGAAACACAAAAGGAGTCTGATTTTTCTTGCAGTAGAATTTAGAGCTAAGAAGCAAATAACTATAAACTGTATTTCCAGTATGAAAGAGCTGGAGGACCAGTAGAGCTAAACTTTATAGTTTGCTTTTGAAAAATTACAATGAAATGTTTCAGCAAATTTCGTGCAATGACTACATTAGGTGGCATATTTGAAAAGACTTACAAGTATCCAAAGGATATGCTCATGTAAGGCTCTAATAGGTGTAAAGGGTACAGTAGAGCAGGAGAAAGAAATCACAGGCAATAATCAATCATAAAGAGATCCAAATTTTTTCAGGCAGAGTCCTCTAATGTCCTTCTTCAGTCAGAGAGGAGGTACTTTATCTTTGGATGTGAATTACGAAGATACATGTGACGTATTTGAGTGTCAGGGGAGCCCAAGCACGAGTTACTGGGGGATTTATATAATCCCCAATCACATAGGTAAAGCCAGGCTGTATGACAGGTCAAACCAGGTACAAACTATCAATCTGCGCCTTCTTTACAAACCCTATAAAAACATATAAACAAGCCCCCACTTCTACCATTGTGGAATTCACACTTCTCTTAATTCCCAATAGATCTGTGTTTCTGGATTCCTGATTCCTGATCTGACTTCTGTCCTCAAACTCACTTACTCCCTGGACCCTTTGTTCCCCACCAACACTGGCTATCTGCCTAAGTATACTGATTTGGTAGAGAAAATAAGAAGATGGAAACATAAAACTTTATCGACACCTTTTCTTTCTGTGCCTTAGTCTGTTTGTGTTGCTATATCAAAATACCTGAAACTAGTTAATTTATAACAATCAAAAAATGTATTGGCTTATGGTTCTGGAGGCTGGGGAGTCCAAGATGGAGAGACTGGCAACTGGTGTGGGCCTTGTTGCTGCATAATTTCATGGCAGCAGAGGGACAAACAAGAGAGAGCAGGAGGGGCCAAACTCTCCCTTTTATAACAGCACCAGTCCTGCCCATGTGGGTGCAGCCCTGTGGCCTAATCACCTCTTACAGGCCCACCCCTTAAAACTGTTACAATGGCAATTAACACATTAACTGCCATGTGAGTTGCATTTAACTCACTAGTTTTGAGTTCGTTTTTAACTACCTAGTTAAAACTAGTTAAATAGTATTTAACTCACTAGCTTTGAGCCCCAGGCATCATGAAGCATATGTAACTCACACTTCTCTTTATCTTGGGAACCCCTGGAACTATTTTTCAAGTTGCATATAATTCACGCACAGGAAACAATAAAAAACAACAAACTTTTCATTAAATTAGAAAGGATCATTTTGTTTTCAAACTTTGCATTCTATTTTCGTAATAAAACACCGTGGCCCCGAGTAAACATTTTTTTATTTCCTAGTGTGGCAGTCAGTGTGTTAAATTTCAGCCTAAGTTTTGGAGTGGACAAATATTCAAACCATAGCATTCTGCAAGATTCTTTTTATATTACATTTGGTGGGTCATTTGTACGTTCAAATTCATAGGATGGGAATTTTGTGGTAAGGAATTTAAAATGAGTTACTTGGGAAGGAGGCAAGTGAATCATTGCTTTAAATTATTTTTAGATGTGGAATATTCCTCGTAAATTCATCAATTCTATATAGAAATCAGTTTATGGGTTAATGGGTTAATGTGAAGATTCTATATACATTTTCCATTTTTATATTTACCACTTTTGGAGAAAGCATATGAGATCTTATTCGTAATATTAGAACACTTAACCTTAGATGTAGACAGACTGTGCCACCATTTGCCACATTTCATGTGCGAATACATTTTATTAAAATGTCATTGCGATCATCAGGGTTAGAACAGGGTTTTCCTGTCATTACAACAGCCCTCAACACTTGCTATGGCTTGGGTAGCTGATTCTCTCCCACTTGCCTTTCTTGCAAAGGATAATATGACTGAGTCTGTTGACCCGGGGCTTCAATTTTGAAATAGCCGAAATGAACCTCATTGGCTTTTTCAGCATGTTTAATGTCCTGATGAGGTTAATATCTCCCGAGTGTATTCTATAGAAATCAGTTTCTGGAATAAAGATTTTCTCATTTTAATCAGGATACATATAACAAAAATAACAAAACTGACATTTCTTAAGTACCCACCATGTACCAAGTTCTGTACTAAACAATTTACACGTATTGACTCATTTAATCCTTAATAATTTTTATGAGGCAAAAACTGGCATTATCCCCATTTTACAGATGTGGAAACTGAAACAGGACAAGGCTTAGTAATTTGCCCAAAAGGATGAACTGGTGTTTAAATAGGTATGTTAGTGAGAGGGTCCCAGAGTTAACGTAAAGTGAAATGGAACAAAGCAGGAGAAGCCATAAGGACAATAATCAAAAAAAGCATTCATTCACCATTGTTCTTCATACACATTTTCTCATAGAATATGCATTTTGGGTGACATCCATTACTACCAGGTATACCTGGGGAGATGCTTTATTAGTTTAGATTCTCTATGACTGTACTTCCAGGCCCAAGATCAGCTTGGAAGTTCCAGAGTCCTTTAGGAAACTAGAGTAAATAGGTCTGAAATTTTCCAGGGAGGGGTTTCAGGATATCCCATCACATTTACTTTAGAAATCCACAAAGAGTTGGGAACAAGCCAAAGGTTTCTCATTTAGTTCCTGCTGTTACCGAGGGTGTGTGTTCAACGAAGGTAGGAGGTTTTTTTTTTTTTTTTTTTTTTTTTTTTTTTTTTTTTTGAGACAGAGTCTCGCTTTGTTGTCCAGGCTAGAGCTCCTGGGCTCGAGCGATCCTTCTGCCTCAGCCTCCCAAGTAGCTGGGACTACAGGCATGCACCACCATGCCCGGCTAATTTTTTATATATATATCAGTTGGCCAATTAATTTCTTTCTATTTATAGTAGAGACGGGGTCTCGCTCTTGCTCAGGCTGGTTTTGAACTCCTGACCTCTAGCAATCCGCCCGCCTCGGCCTCCCAGAGAGCTAGGATTACAGGCGTGAGCCACCGCGCCCGGCCAGGTAGGAGGTTTTGTTTGTTTTATTCCCATCTATATCTCTGACAGTTATAATGCCTAGAATACAGTGGGCATGGAACAAAATTTGATGCATAAGTGGATTAAATAGCCATCACGGATCAGAACCTGACTACATGCCAGATTTATTCTAAACCCTGAAGTTTAGGAGACGAGACTGGTGAGGGAGAATGGAAAGTGATTCCAAAGATCTGACTATGTGTCTCCCGGTCCCTCTTGTTTCTCACCCTTGTTCTTATTCTTATTTTAGAAAATTAAGATCCATGTCCTAGTGGAGTAGAAGAGGTCCTTCATTTGGTATCCAGTTTTCTATGGGGACCAGGAAAAGATTTTTATGCGGGAATTCAGTTAATGAATGCTTTTTGAAGGCTACTATGTGGTATTGTTGATAGAAGTTACTAAAGGTAACATTTCCAAAGCTATAAAATATACGTATTTATGTATTATATATAAATATGATATGTATATGTACTCATTGAACTGTCCCCACACTTTACGTATGGGGAAACTAGGGACACACAGCTAGCAGCTGGCTGAGCTGGGATTATGAACCTAATTAGCCATCCTTTAAAGCCAAGTTTTAGCAGGTAAACTATGATCCCTACTCCAACTTTAAATATTACCGTGTTTCCCCGAAAATAGGACAGGATCTTATATTTATCTTTCCTCAAGAAGACACCCTAGGGCTTATTTTCAGGGGATGTGTTATTTTTTTAAGTATGGTACAACAATCTACATTTCTTCAAATATAGTTAAGTCATCTTCTTCTGGAACATCATCATCACTCTCCAAGCCCCAAATTCCATCTTGAATTTCTTGCAATTCTATTTCCTTTAGAACCGTTGGCCAGGACCTGACAGGGGGAGCCGACCTTGTTGGTGGGGCTGTCCGCACCTTTCCAGTCACCCCTGGGATAGTAGCTGTCACCATGGGGCAGATGAGAAGGGCTGCTTGTGTTCTTTACCACTGGGTGACAAAATGCATGGGGTTGTGCAGATGCGCTGCGTAGCCACGCCCATCATGAGGTCTTATTTTGGGGGTGGGGCTTCTGTTGCGCAAATGCTTAGAAATCCTGCTAGGGCTTATTTTATGGGTAGGTCTTATTTTCGGGGAAACACGGTAATAGAAATGGAAGACATCTAATTGCACAAACGCCTACCCAAAATTATAAATGTGATGAGTGCTGTGAAAGAACAGCAGAGGGTGTTGTGAGAGACTGTAATGGCGAGTGTCAGGGTAGGACTCTGAGTAAATGGCATTCAAGCCAGTACCTGATAGGGGAGTAGTGGCTAGCCCGGAAGGAGTCGGGGAGACATTCTTCTAGATAAAGGTAGCTACCCTGTGTGCCTAGGCCAACGCAGGGCAGGCACAGCCTTACACTGTTTAAAGAACTGAAAGAAGAGCATCCTAATGTGAGCGCAGGAATTGGGAGCTGGGCAGGGAAAATGAACGTAGGACACCTGAAGTGCTTCGCAGTATTGATGATGAAAGTTACTAGAAGTAACTTTTCCAAAGCTACACAGTGCTCATTGCAGCTATCTCAATATTAAACAACATTAATATATTTATATATTTAGAAAATATTTGCTATAAGGACTACTGATTCAGCAAAATGTAAACTATTACGATTATTCATACATAATTCTACAGTAGAATTAATAAACTGATTCAGGTTTACTGTTTCATCTGTATTTTACAACATTGTGAATTAAAAGGCACACACAAAAAAGCCAGCATTTTAGTGAAATTCAGCAAAAACAATGGTTATATTGTCCTGTATAATGAAGAGCTAAGGCTAACAGTTTTGCACTGATAATGCATGTGTTTTGCAAAACCACCACCTAGAAAAAGAACGTAACTACCTTTAAGGTGCTTGATGTTTGTATCTCCTACAAACGAACTGTCTTTTGGAATCAGAAGTAAAATCCGTGGCCTATAGCGCTGTTTAAAAGCAGGCGCTGTTGCTCTAACAAAGAATGTGTATTTCTCTTCCTGGGCTGGTTGGAGATTGGCAGGAACGGCTGGAAAGACGCGGAGCAGGCTCGCGGTGCGGCAGCGCTCCCAGGAGGGCAATGGCAGAATAGCAGGAGGAGGCGAGAAACCAGGTACCCTGATACACAGGCAAGGAGAGCCTGCAGAAAGCATGGAGGTGACAGGTTAGACAGCAAGAGAAATGGCATAATGCAGCGTCAGTTAATGATTCTGGTGGCTTTCAGCAACTGCTGAGAATGTTACAAGTGGTTAGGGAAGGTAGTGGCCCATGTGAATGATCTTTTGATAACAGGGAAATCTTTGACTTGAAAGATTGGAATGTTCTTGCCTTTCAAGACACACTGGAATATTTAAATTCTGTGATGATAATGCATTAATTCCAGTTTTCTAAAACACTATATTATTGAATCGGCTGCCTGTCAAATTTGAGAATACAAAGGGAAATAAACCAATGAACGTAGCCTAGAATATGTGCTAGTGGATTCTATTGTTATGGTGAAAGCCTGTCCTATTGGTTATTTTACTACTGATAAATTTTGGACACAGCCAAAGTATCACTGGACTGTCAGGGAATTGTACAGGAGATTGTTCATTCACATTTTAAGGTAAGCTAAAAATGCATGGTCATCAAAATATGTGTGGAAAATATTATCAACCACTTACCTCTTCTTTTTCACTATGCACATGCAATTATTCTTTTAAATGGAGTTGGATAAGAGGTGCCACTGAAGTCCTGGAAATTCTGCAAATGTAAACCAGGAATGAGAAGGGTGTAGGGACGACTTTGGTTTAGCAATAAGAGGCGTTGAATAGGGAGATTGTCAGGCCATGGCAGGGAGGTGTGAAGGTTGTGCTGGATTCTTCCTTGGCTCAGGATTTCCATTGGTTTTTGGTTTCCTGCCATTCACTGTGTTCAGGCAACTTGATTAGTGCACCTTGATAGCAATAGAACATGCCTTCCAGTTTTAGCTCCAAGCCTCTTGTTCAAAGTGTGAGTTAATATTAGTTCTAATATGATTCCTATAAAAGTTGTTAAAATAGTATCAGAACAAGTTTGTCTTTTTCACTTACAAGCCATATCAGAAATTGAATTCACAGCTCCAAAGATGAATTGTTTTCATTTAAGTAGTTATGTAACTGTGCATAATATTGTAACTATTTAATAGCTCTAAAGACTAATATTTTATAAAACACGTACCTCTATGCCAGGCATGAGGCACTATGTCGATAAAATAGACATGGTATTTTCCCTT